GNTAAGCAGGCATGGGGGTGCAGCAAAAGGGGAGTCTCGACTCAAGGATCCCCCATGCTTTTTTAGCTATTGCCACCGTGATTACCAACCGTCGGCTGTACCTGGTCCCAGGCTGACGAGATGTGCCCTCTCGCCCTTGCCTTATGCAGGCGAGTGGGTGGAGTCGCTGAAATCCTATGCTGGCGGCATAGCCCTGCACCCAGACAGCTCTATCTATGACATCGGCATCGACTGGATTGCACCCTACAACTCTACACAGCACAGTATTGGCATCCTGTTCATCCGTTGTGCGGACATGGACCCCCATAACAAGGGCAAGATCTGGAATCAGGGTGTCATCGCCATCATCCCCGGCCCCAGGATGCCGTCTGTCCTCTGCGGGCGACTTTCCATCGAGGTCTCCACCATTGCGGGGTGAGGTGCTCTGGTGGCTTCAGCGTCCCCGGTAGTGCTCCGGCCGGTTCGGGCGCAGGCTGATCACCGGTGTGGTCCCTGTCGGCAGTGTTCGGGCCGGCCCTTGCCGCCCCTGCGCCTGCACCGGGCGCGAGGGTTACGTGGCGCTACCGGTGTACAGTCGAGTCCCTTTTCTGCAAGGTACACCAGCACTGGGTTTGGGGTACCGATTTCTCCTGTCACGGGGGTCATGCCGATATGGCATGGCTTGGGCGCGGTCGCGGTCCCTGGACGATAGGCCCAGGGGGGTTCCCTAGGTTGGGCACACTCCTACGGGTGTCTTTTTGCAGAGCTGCCATGATGCGTCTCGTTTCCATATAGGATGTGCATTGCGGGGCCGGGTCGCGGAGTTGCACGCCGTGTATAGCTGCACTATCTGTTCCCATGTTGCTGTTGTCACAGCGTGTATTGTTGTTGATGAAATCCTGTTGCCGCTGGTGGACGGATCTTGTGCGTTTCCGTCCTGTGCAGGCTGGTTCCGCAGGGTGGCTCGGTGGCGCTGGTGGGTCACTCTCCATGTCGTCTGGCTGGCAGAAGGGGCAGACAGAGGAGGGTAGCTCGGAGGGTGGGTCGGACGCTGGTGAGGAAGAGGTCCTAGCCGCTGGCGCTGGGGAGGAGTCCAGCTCGGAGGACACAGGCAAATATAGCGAAGCTAGCAGCAGCAACAGTGGCAGTGGCAGCAGTGGCAGTGGTGGAAGTGAGCAGTAACATGGCAGCAGTGATGAGCGCTTGGGGGTGCACACACCAGGTCGGCCCCAGGCAGGATGGGACAGACCAATCCCAATAGGTGCCGGTACATGTCATACATCGGGGGTTTCATCCATAGGAGTAAGCAGTAGGCACGAACTCTGCAAGTGGTGGTGAGACTTCTTGGAGAGCACTTGCTGTATGGGGGGTGACATGAACGCTGTTTTCGAGGATGATGGTTTGGATGAATGCATCAGGCTGTCAGGCTGGCTGGTTGGCGTTGTGAGTCCAAAGCGCCTTGGTCCACAAGCATACTTAGACTTAGGCTACTTTGACAAGGGGTTCGCGTCCATCTTGAGGCTTGCCGCACTATTCACCAATCGTTAATTTAACACGCAGTAAGCATCACATCACAGAGTAATATCTGCCCGTGTAACCCGTAATCTCTGGGTCTTCACCCGTAATTTTGCGTGTAATTGGTTACATGCACCCGTAATTCACCTCCAGCACCGCGTAATATTCAACCGTAATCACTGGGTCTTCACCCGTAATTTCGCGTGTAATTGGTTACATGCGCCCGTAATTCACCTCCAGCACCGCGTAAAATCCACCCGTAATCACTGGGTCTTCACCCGTAATTTTGCGTGTAATTGGTTACATGTGCCCGTAATTCACCTCCAGCACCGCGTAAAATCCACCCGTAATCACTGGGTCTTCACCCGTAATTTTGCATGTAATTGGTTACATGCGCCCGTAATTCACCTCCAGCACCACGTAAAATCCACCCGTAATCTCTGGGTCTTCACCCGTAATTTCGCATGTAATTGGTTACATGCGCCCGTAATTCACCTGCAGCACCGCGTAATATTCAACCGTAATCACTGGGTCTTCACCCGTAATTTTGTGTGTAATTGGTTACATGTGCCCGTAATTCACCTCCAGCACCGCGTAAAATCCACCCGTAATCACTGGGTCTTCACCCGTAATTTCGCGTGTAATTGGTTACATGCGCCCATAATTCACCTCCAGCACCGCGTAAAATGCACCCGTAATCACTGGGTCTTCACCCGTAAATGTTCACCTGTATCCTTGTGCTCAAATTACGGGACCCGTAACGTGTTACCCTACAAACACGGAGGGGGGTTAAGAAGCTTAGGAGAATGCTTAAGAACGATAAGAACGACGGAAGAACATGGAGGAGGCGGGTGTGCATTCTTAAACATTCTTACACTGGTATTAAGCGGTTTTATGTAAGTATGTCATATAAGTATGCATTAAGAATGCATCAACCATGAAAACATTCTGTAATGAATGCCTGATGGAGCTCTTATAGTTCCCGGATAGGTAATATATCACAGTGATTGTGAAACAGTGAACATACCATGAAATTTCATGAAAACTATCAACATGTGTCTGGGTCTAGACCTTAGATCTAATAATGCGAGATCTAACAGGTTTAGACCTGTTAGATGGATAGCGAGTTCGAACTCGCATTATTAGATCTAAGG